CCTCTGCTGTAGCAGATGCCCCTGTGCATCTGTCTATGCAGTCTTGACTGCTGGGAGCCCGCATCTCAGGAATACAGACGGGGTCTATGAGGCTAATCCATACTGTGACGTAGGGTAGGCAGGACAGAACACACAGAGTAGATGGCAAGTGCACAAAGCTTTATTGAGACAAACAGATGACAGTCACGCAATAGAGAGATTGGCAGGGAGGGTGAATTTGCCAGTAAAGGGTAGCAAGGAGGGGCCAACCCACATTTAGTCCAACACTGAGAGCCAAGGAAGAGTCTCTGTAGCAATTGTAATCCGACAGGGGGGGGGTCTGTAATAAATCTAAATTATGATTCGGCACTTATATTGATGGCAAGCTTGCAAAATATTTGGTTTTTATGATTAGTCATAATTAATATTAATATGTGTAAATGGTCTTTTGACAAATGGTAGTATTAGTATTCTTCAATTAAACTGAGACTGAAAAAGATATGAATAAGTTAAACTGAGACTGAAAAAGATATGAATAAGTTAAGCTGAACTAGCTAAATCAGTTGAAGGTTGAGTATACTATATTTAGGCATAAAGTATCTGGTAGTTATGTCAAGGTTATTAGAAGTGACTTACTATTACATTATGTATTTTAATAGTATCTGTGTGTATTTAGTATACGTCTCTAACACTGATACATATATAGTTTAGTGATTATACATTGATATGTTCTTAAGCTATACTATTCTTTAAATATATAGCTGAGGGTTCATCAGCATACATATGTTCCTGTCCATCAAACATCATATGTATAGCATCCTTTCCTTATATGAAATGGCTTTGCTAAGCAGTAATAATTTCCATAGAAGGTATTAAGATCACTAACTATGACGTAAATTTGCCTCTTAAAAGACCATGAGACACAACGGACAAGAGAGACTCTCACTCACACACTACACGACACTCTTTCATACATAACACACACACACATGGCTGTTCATAAGAACTTTCTGAGATGCTGGAACAGGTGCTGCAAGACAAGAGATCATCATTAACGTCACTTCCGTCTTCTTTCTCGGACTCTGTGTTGGACAAGACAAGATCACATGAAGGACAGAACAGCCATGACAGATAATGGTGACTTTATCGTTTGTTAGTTATTTTTACAGTAGTTTTATCTACATGGAACTGTTCATAATACGCTTTACATTGTTTATTTTACACCATTGTGTGATAGAATAAAATCACACTTCATTTTTTATTTCAATGGCTCTTTCATTCATAATCGCCTCAAGACACTAGAAGAAGAAGTATTATATGTGTCTAAAAATCCAACAGGGTCAGTACAGGAACAGTTCAGTTTAAACAGAGAGAAAGCGTGTACTCACGGATCCGACAGGGTGCCTGGTCTCCCAGGGATAAAAGTGGAACACAGGTACCTGTTGGAGTCCGCATCATGCGGGTGGTCTCCCCTTTTGGGCTTAGTCCTCAGACAACTGGCAGGCAATCCCTCCCCTGGACTGGGGTCTCTGACAACTGGCAGGCAATCTTTCCTCCCACACTGGGGTTTGGGCAACTCACAGGCAATCTCTCCCCCCGGACTGGGGCTTAGGCAGCTAGCAGGCAATCTCTCCCCCTGGACTGGGGCTTGGGCAACTCACAGGCAATCTCTCCCCCCGTACTGGGGCTTGGGCAACTCACAGGCAATCTCTCCCCCCGGACTGGGGCTTAGGCAGCTAGCAGGCAATCACTCCCCCCGGACCGAGGCTTGGGCAACTCACAGTCAATCTCTACCCCCAGACTGGGGATGGGCAGCTAGCAGGCAATCTCTCCCCTATGCTGGGGGGTCTCGGGCAGTCTTGGGTGCAGTTCCCCATTTGGCTGGGGGTTCCGCAGAGTCTAGCCACGAAGGTCCCGCCATAGCTGGGCTCCTTTGGTGGCTGCGCAGTGGTGAAAAAATGATCAGAGCGCCCGGCATCAGCTTCTTAAGCTGATGTGGGATGCTCCCTGGTCGTCTAGGTAACCAGGGTGGGCCAGCACTGGCGTGCCTTGTTGCCCGGCAACGAGGCACGCCCCCTGGACAGGGACCGCGCCCCTCGCGAACGCAGCCTTTGTCCAGGGACATCCGCAAGCACGGGAACTTCGCGTGCCCCCACTGATGACAGGGCTGCGGTGGTGTCAGCGAGACACGGTAGCCCAGGCCATCCCTGCGGGAGGCTCGTACTTCTCCAAGGAGTGTGGTGTGAGCCTCGTCACCTTCTCCTCTCCGGCAGCAGTCTGAGAGGGAGAAGATAGGGCAGGGGTGTTGAAAGTCGCACCTCTCATCCCACTGCAGCAGGATGAGAGGTGAAGGGGGAGACACTAGACCCCAGGGACGAATCGAGCTTGTGACAGGGGACACAATGAGGGCCAGGATGACACCGGACCCACAGGGATATCAGAGGGGTCGGTGCCGGGAATTATGGAGGGCAACTTGAGGACATACTGCAAGCTGGCAACAAGCTGGCCGGGAGGGGGGAAGCCACAATAATTGAATTTGGCCATTTGGCAGAGTGACACGGAGGACATACAGAGAGAGGATCTGAGGGACGTTTGATACAGGGAATTAATAAGGGAATTAAATGAAATCAATAATTGGCAGGGGCCCCTATACCGTGACACATACTGTCAGGGCTCCCAGGTGTGACCAGAGGTGTGTGGCTGACGCAGGGAAACGCAGACCTCAGATATGTTATAAACAATATAATTTATTAACACTAACAATACAAACATAAAACGCAGTGCAATACTAAAACATAATACAGTGCAACCAAACCAAACCAAACCAACCACCCACAGATAACAGTACATACAAGCAAGCGTCGTCAGGCAGGCGGGTCAATATCAATAGGGCAGGTAGGTACAGGGGGAGCAAGCGGAGATTGGTCGGGGTCACAGGCCAGGTTCAGCAGGTAGCAAGCAGTGTAGTACAGAGGGTAAGGCAGAGGGATGGTCAGGGTCACAAGCCAGGGATCAGAACAGGTAGCAAGCAGCGTAGTACAGAGGGTCAGGCAGAGGAATGGTCAGACAAGCCAGGGATCAGAGCAGGGTCAGCAGAGAATCAGACAGGAACAGAGAGCAGGAACAGGATACAGGGCCCAAGAGAACACAACACCAAGGCAGAGTCTGCAAGTCTGGCCATCCCTTAAATACCCCAGCATAATCAGTTCCAGGTGTTAGCTGGCTGCAAAGTTGAGTCTCTGATTGCTGGGAGCACCCGCTGGCCAGCCCTGGTACTGCAGATCAAAAGGCAGGTGAGTCCCACCATTGCTGGCTAGTCCATTCCTGACAGTACCCCCCCCCTCAAGGAGCGGCCTCAGGACGCTCCAAACAGTCCTAGCTGGGCAAAATGTTCCACCGCCCGGGTCTGGTAACTGGCGGGATATCAAAGACTGGCACACCGGGCAGGACTCCGGGCAGCAGCACACCGGGCAGGGGCACACCGGGCAGAGGCACATCGGGCAGGACTCCGGGCAGAGGCACATCGGGCAGGACTCCGGGCAGAGGCACATCGGGCAGGACTCCGGGCAGAGGCACATCGGGCTGGACTCCGGGCAGAGGCACATCGGGCTGGACTCCGGGCAGAGGCACATCGGGCTGGACTCCGGGCAGAGGCACATCGGGCTGGACTCCGGGCAGAGGCACATCGGGCTGGACTCCGGGCAGAGGCACATCGGGCTGGACTCCGGGCAGAGGCACATCGGGCTGGACTCCGGGCAGAGGCACATCGGGCAGGACTCCGGGCAGAGGCACATCGGGCAGGACTCCGGGCAGAGGCACATCGGGCAGGACTCCGGGCAGAGGCACATCGGATTACCAGGCGAAGCAGCAGGCAGCGGGCCACCAGGCGGAGCAGCAGGCACCGGGCCCCGGGCGGGGCAGCAGGCAGGCACGGGCCCCCGGGCGGGGCGGCAGGCACCGGGCCCCCGGGCGGGGCGGCAGGCACCGGGCCCCCGGGCGGGGCGACAGGCACCGGGCCCCCGGGCGGGGCGACAGGCACCGGGCCCCCGGGCGGGGGGTGACCGGCATCGGGTCCCCAGGCGCGGGCGGGCGCCGGGCCCCCAGGAGGGGCGACCGGCATCGGGCCCCCAGGCGGGGCGACAGGCATCGGGCCCCCAGGAGGGGCAACAGGCATCGGGCCCCCAGGAGGGGCGACAGGCATCGGGCCCCCAGGCGGGGCGACAGGCATCGGGCCCCCAGGCGGGGCGACAGGCATCGGGCCCCCAGGCGGGGCGACAGGTCTCGGGCCCTCAGGCGGAGCGACAGGTCTCGGGCCCTCAGGCGGAGCGGCGGGCGCCGGACCCCCAGGTGGAGCGACAGGTCTAGGGCCCTCAGGCGGAGCGGCGGGCGCCGGACCCCCAGGTGGAGCGACAGGTCTCGGGCCCTCAGGCGGAGCGGCGGGCGCCGGACCCCCAGATGGAGCGACAGGTCTCGGGCCCTCAGGCGGAGCGGCGGGCGCCGGACCCCCAGATGGAGCGACAGGTCTCGGGCCCTCAGGCGGAGCAACAGGTCTCGGGCCCCCAGGCGAAGCGGCGGGCACCGAGTCACCAGGCACGACAGTGGGCACCGAGTCGTCTGGCAAGACTGCGGGCATCGAGTCAACTGGCGGAACAGCGGGCACCGAGAGTCGTCTGGCAAGACTGCGGGCACAGAGTCGTCTGGCAAGACTGCGGGCACAGAGAGTCGTCTGGCAAGACTGCGGGCACCGAGTCGTCTGGCAAGACTGCGGGCACCGAGTCAACTGGCGGAACAGCGGGCACCGAGTCAACTGGCGGAACAGCGGGCACCGAGTCAACTGGCGGAACAGCGGGCACGAGTCGTCTGGCAAGACTGCGGGCATCGAGTCAACTGGCGGAACAGCGGGCACCGAGTCGTCTGGCAAGACTGCGGGCACCGAGTCGTCTGGCAAGACTGCGGGCACCGAGTCGTCTGGCAAGACTGCGGGCACCGAGTCATTCTGGCAAGACTGCGGGCACCGAGTCGTCTGGCAAGACTGCGGGCACCGAGTCAACTGGCGGAACAGCGGGCATCGAGTCAACTGGCGGAACAGCGGGCACCGAGTCGTCTGGCAAGACTGCGGGCACCGAGTCGTCTGGCAAGACTGCGGGCACCGAGTCGACTGGCGGAACAGCGGGCACCGAGTCAACAGGCACGACAGTGGGCACCGGGTCATCAGGTATCGGATTGTCTGGCTCGACAGCGGGCATCGGGTCACCAGGTATGACAGCGGGCACTGGGTCACCAGGCATCAGGTCATTTGGCTTGCCAGCGGGCACCGCGTCATCTGGCAAGGCAGTGGGCACCGCGTCATCTGGCAAGGCAGTGGGCACCGGGTCACCAGGTATGACAGCGGGCTCTGAGTCAATTGGCACGACAGCGGGCACTGGATCAGGTACCGGATCATCTGGATCAACAGCGGGCATCGAGTCAACTGGCCTAATAGGATCGTCGGGCTGGATCAGTTCATCATGCTGAGTAGCGGCATCAGGCTGAATATAGGCATCAGGCTGAGTAGAGGCTTCAGGCTGAGGAGAGGCTTCAGGCTGAGGAGAGGCTTCAGGCTGAAGAGAGGCATCAGGCTGAAGAGAGGCATCCGGCTGAAGAGAGGCATCCGGCTGAAGAGAGGCATCCGGCTGAAGAGAGGCATCCGGCTGAAGAGAGGCTTCAGGCTGAGGAGAGGCATCAGGCTGAGTAGAGGCATCAGGCTGAGTAGAGGCTTCAGGCTGAGTAGAGGCTTCAGGCTGAGTAGAGGCTTCAGGCTGAGTCACGGAAGGCAGGTTCACCGGTTTGGATACTGGCAGGATGGTATTGGTTGGAAAGAATTTTCGCTTTTTTTCTGGTTTTAACTACTGGAGCACTGCAAGTAAACGCAGGTCTGCAAACGAATGGAGCAGCTGGAGACAGAGAAAAACTGGAGGATGGAACAGGAGAGGGAGCAGTTGCTACAGAGGGCTTTTTTACAGGGTTAAAGGCAGGATAGGTGCAGCGAGTGGGAACAGGGTACTGACATGCGGTAGATAGCCAAGTATACTGGGCTGTAACTGGAGGAGCTGGTGGGAATACAGGAGTAGAGTTAGAAGCAGGACTGGGTTTTTGTAAGCTGACTGAGGCTGGGTGCAACAAGTCTGTCCATGTCTGCAGTATGGGTTGGACAAAGCTGAGCTTACACAAAGCCTGTCTGGTCAATGACTGCACTGCATTTATACAATCTCTTAGTGTCTGTGGTGAACATGTGGAATAACGCTCCAGAAAGTAACCCACATCATCCTCTAATAACCATACCAGGGACTCTACCTGGTCTGCACTAAATGGTGGCAAAAATTCATCCCTGCATTCGGGGGAACCAGATGAAACCAACTCAGCACAAAAACCTCAATCAAAGGCTGCACCTCAGAGAACTCTGTGCCCTGATCTACTAGAACATGAGCGAGCCGTATATACATTCTAGTAGTTGATCCCTGGGATACTCCTTCAGAGTTTGATAAGCATACTCCCTGTCATCAAACACTAGCAGATATAAATACACAACCTCATCCAGATCCATCCTTCCCAGCAACAAGCCAAGATGGCTTCCCTGTGCAGCCACTTCTGGTCAGGATTGGCCTTGGTGTAATGTCAGGGCTCCCAGGTGTGACCAGAGGTGTGTGGCTGACGCAGGGAAACGCAGACCTCAGATATGTTATAAACAATATAATTTATTAACACTAACAATACAAACATAAACGCAGTGCAATACGAAAACATAATACAGTGCAACCAAACCAAACCAAACCAACCACACCACAGATAACAGTACATACAAGCAAGCGTCGTCAGGCAGGCCGGGTCAATATCAATAGGGCAGGTAGGTACAGGGGGAGCAAGCGGAGATTGGTCGGGGTCACAGGCCAGGTTCAGCAGGTAGCAAGCAGTGTAGTACAGAGGGTAAGGCAGAGGGATGGTTAGGGTCACAAGCCAGGGATCAGAACAGGTAGCAAGCAGCGTAGTACAGAGGGTCAGGCAGAGGAATGGTCAGACAAGCCAGGGATCAGAGCAGGGTCAGCAGAGAATCAGACAGGAACAGAGAGCAGGAACAGGATACAGGCCCAAGAGAACACAACACCAAGGCAGAGTCTGCAAGTCTGGCCATCCCTTAAATACCCCAGCATAATCAGTTCCAGGTGTTAGCTGGCTGCAAAGTTGAGTCTCTGATTGCTGGGAGCAGCACCCGCTGGCCAGCCCTGGTACTGCAGATCAAAAGGCAGGTGAGTCCCACCATTGCTGGCTAGTCCATTCCTGACACATACCATCTGTGTTTCTGTCCTGTAGGCCATTGCCCTGCATTGGAGATCGCCCACGGTGCCATTGCACTCAGTTTTGCAGAGAGTTGATGCAGTGATGTTCATGGGAGAGAATTCATTATATGTTACTGGATAGGATGCAGTTATTCGACAGAAAGTGGGAAGTTTGGAAAACTCATAGACATTTACTATCTGAATAATGAATACTCATGATTCAATTGATAGTGTTTTCTGTTGGTGCCATTATTGCTCTGCCTACTCTTTTACCTATCTTGCTCATACACTTAATTTTTATGCCTTACATGATTGTATCCTTTTGGAATATATATTACAGATGTGCCTTGTTTCTGTTTTATATTCTACTTGATACTGTAATGTTGTTTTTGGCCTATTTCATAAAAAAAATAATAAAAATCATTTGTAAACAAATAATACCTTGGTTTGGTCCCAAGAACCTCCTCTTTGCCCGGGAAGTCACACACCTCCCCCCTCCTTCTTTGTACCTTCCTCTGTTTCTTCCTATTCTTCTCCCCCTCCTCTCTTTCTCCTACCTTAATATTTTCCCCTTGACTTTACGTGGAACCCTCCTGCAGTTCTAGGAAATATTGCCTTCATCCAAGAGCTTGACCATGTCTCATCTTCATTCATTGCACCCAAGGGTACCTTGTTAAATGTTTATTGCACTGTAATCCCTTTCTGTGGTAGGGCAACCTGAACTTCCATTTCTCCCCCCTTTCTTCCTTTTTTTACTTTTTGTGTTTCTTATTGTTTTGGTCATGTACTTGAATTTGAGATGCCATATGTTTGTTCTCTTGGCTCTGAAAATAATAAAATGTTTGAACAGGAACAATCTTTTATAAACCCCTACTGGTTACTACTAATGATACTATTTTCATCAACAAATTCTTGGATATGGGCTTTTATTATCCCCTCCAATAGTTTAAAAACTATTGATGTAAGGCTGACTGGCCTGTAGTTTCATAGTATGTATCATGGCAACTTTTGAAATATTGATGCCATGTTGGATTTCTGCCAGTCCACTGGTACCATTCCAGTTAGTAATCTGTGCTTAATGATTAGGAATTATACCTCTTCTTTTCCATAGTGACTACTGAGGAAAAGAACATATTTAATACATTTGCCTTCTCCCTGTCACTTATAACCAACTATCCTTGATGGGACCAATACGATCCAATTTTGCCTTTTTACTATTTATATGTTTAAAAAAAATTTGATTCACAGGAAAGGCAGGGGAAGCTTAGAGAACTGAATGCATGGCTAAAAACTTGGTGTAAGAGGGAAGGATTTGGGTTTCTAGAGCACTGGACTAAATTTTCTGTGGGGCATAACATACTGTATATATTTTAACACAGGCACAAGTTTAGTTTTTTTCAGGTATTTACCAAAACATATTCAAGCTATAGTTATATAATGATTATGGTCTTAAAGTGCACACTCTCAGGTTTAATTTGAGGGTATGTACATCCAAAGGGTTTAGAAATTACAGTTCTTGAGAGCAGTAGAGTCCCTAGGTGGGTGCGGGGGTGTGAGCCACACCGGGTGACACCAATTGCATGGGGTGCCACCCAGGGGCGTTTCTGCCCCCAGGCAGAAGGGACAAGGGACCAGGACTTGGCAGGAGAGCTTGGCATGGCTCGGGCGGGAGGCAGGCTTAGGCAGAAGGCAGGCTTTAGACGGGGGAGGGGGGGCTCTGCAAGTCTTGAGCAGGGAAGGTGGGCTCGGCTTATGCCATCCTGAATTAATGGCAAGCCAGCTGTCTTACCCTCTCTGTGCCTTCCCGGAGCGCTGATTCCCTGCTGCACCCACTGACTTTGTTAAGATCCAATAGGAAGCCCAAGTCCAGACTGACAAACCCAGCTATGCTCCACCCACCTGGCCTCTCTGCAGCCAGCCAGCCGTCTATTCAATTCACTGCATAGGGCCGGAGGGTGGAGCCTAGAGGTCAGCTGACCATGAAGAGGGAGTGCAGCAGGAGAAGAGACCATCACTGCATGTCAAGTATCAGTGCAGCCACAGACACCACGGACCCCCCAGATAAGTGCTTCATTACTTGTCAAATAGAGTCTCTCTCCCTCTCTCTCTCCCTCTCCCTCTCTCATTTTGCACAAGATAAAAGTAATCTGGGACTAACAAGCCACTGGGTTACTTTTACAGGCGGCGGAAGGGCGTCTCTCCCTCTCCTGCTACCGATGCCTTTACCAGGCTCTACCATGCAGTCCCAATGTAAGTGATCAGAATAATCTGTGTCTGATCACATGCATTGGGAGGCCAGAGGAGAGATTTGGGGTCTAAGATCTCTTCAGATCTCTATAAACAGGAACTGTCATGGCCCATGCTATCACAAGGGATGTTGTTCATCCCTTGTAATAGAAATAAACTACTGTCCTGGGACTCTGGGAGGTGCAATGGGGACACAGGGAGAGGAAGAGTCCAGCCAGGCTGTGTGTGCACGACAGGGACTGCCCACCTCTGAAGGGATGACACCACGTGCACCAAGGTGCAAACCATTTATAAGCCTGAAGAATAGAAAAGCCAGATTAGACTTTGCCAAAAAACATCTAAAAAAGCCAGACCAGTTCTGGAAAAGCATTCTTTGGATGGATGAAAACTAAAATATATCTGTACCAGAATGACGGAAAGAAAAAAGTATGGAGAAGGCTTGGAACAGCTCATGATCCAAATCCCACAACGTCATCTATAAAACATGGTGGAGGCAGTTTGATGGCATGGGCATGCATGGCTTCCAGTGACACTGGGTCATTGGTGTTTATTGATGATGTGACAGAAGACAGACGCAGCCAGCCAGATGAATTCTGCAGTGTTTAGAGGTATACTGTCATCCCAGCTTCAGCCAAATGCAGCAAAGTTGATTGGATCACAATACAGATCGACAATGATCCAAAACACACTGCAAAAGCAACCTAGGAGCTTTTGAAGGCAAAGAAATGGAATATTCTGCAATGGCCAAGTCAATCACCTGATCTCACCCCAATTGAGCATGCATTTCACTTGCTGAAGGCAAAACTAAAGGCAGAAAGACCCACAAACAAAGAACAACTGAAGACAGCTTCACTTAGAACCTGGCAAAGCATCAGAAAGGAGGAAACCCAGTCTTTGGTAATGTCCATGAGTTCCAGACTGCAGGCAGTCATTGCCAGTAAAGGGTTCTCAACAAAATAATACAAATAAACATTTTATTTATTATTTTATTCATTTGTCCAATTACATCTGAGCCCCTGAAAATGGAGGGACTGTGTATAAAAATGGTTGCAGTTCCTAAAATTTGTACTTGCCCCTTTATGTTCAACCCCTTGAATTAAAGCTGAAAGTCTGCAGTTCTTGTTCAAACTTTTTTTATTGAGTTTCGAAATTAAAAG